TAGAAAATTTTCATAAATACACAAGTCTAGTTAGCAAGGTTGTACTTATAGTCTTTTATAGCACCTATATATTCTAAAATTTTTAAAAAATTGCACTTTTATATCTTCTATTTTGCAAACTAGAGGATTTCACATGAATTTTCTCGCTCACAAGCAAATTTTAGAGCTTTATAGCTCTTAATGTTTGCTAATTCACTATTTAAATTTAGGGAAAATGCTTCCAGCCCCCAAAACCCAAGGAAAACATGCTTGGCCTCCCCCCCCCCCCTCCCCCCCCCCCCCCCCCGACTTTATCAACGGTACTTTGCCTCCAAAAAAAAGATTTTGTTCTCTGAACCCCCAAAACATAAAACCCAAGAGATTAAAATATGTGAAGACCGTAATACCATTCTCTCTCTCTCTCTCTCTCTCTCTCTCTCTATCATGATGTTACTGTGATGATGTTGAAATGATTGAAGAGGATTGTTATTTTATTATTTTTGTTTTTTATTATTTTCATTATTGATGAGGAAACTAAGTGGTTTTGTTTGTATTGGAAGATTGTTAAGATTACGGGTTTAATTGTTAAGGTTACAGGATGGTTGTGAAGGTTAGAAGTTTAATTGTTAAGGTTGCGGGTTTAATTGTTAAGGTTATAGGTTTGTTGTTAAGGTTACAGGTCAATTGTTAAGGTTACGGGTCGGTTGTTAAGGTTACGGGTTGGTTGTGAAGGTTACGGGTCGGTTGTTAAGGTTACGGGTTGGTTGTGAAGGTTACGGGTTTAATTATTAAGGTTACGGGTTTAGTTGTTAAAGTTACGGGTTTGTTGTTAAGGGTTTCGAGTTGGTTGTTAAGGTTAAAGGCCGGCTGTTAAGGTTACGGATTGGTTGTGAAGGTTACACGTTGGGATATATATGTATATATATTTTGAGTGGAATGAATACTTTGGGTCACTTGGCCTAGTGGTAAAGTTTGGGAGTTTGGACAAGAGGTTAGGGGTTCAAACCCCTACAGCTATAATATTTTTAGAATATTTTAAAGTTTGGGAGTTTGGACAAGAGGTTAGGGGTTCAAACCCCTACAGCTATAATATTTTTAGAATATTTGTTGTTAAGGATAATGGTTGGTTATTAAGGTTACGGGTTTATTGTTTAGGTTACGGGTTTGTTGTTAAGGATATGTGTTGGTTGTGAATGTTACGCTTAGGTTGTGAAGTTAACATACACAACAAACCCGTAACATTAACAACAAACCCGTAACCTTAATAACAAACACGTAACCTTAACAAACAACCCGTATCCTTAACAAGGAATATTCTAAAACCCCGTAACGGGTTGGTTGTGAAGGTTACGGGTTTGTTGTGTAGGTTAACTTCACAACCAAAGTGTAACATTCACAACCAATGCATATCCTTAACAACAAACCCGTAACCTTAACAAAAAACCCGTAACCTTAACAACCAACCCGTAACATTCACAATCAACCATTATCCTTAACAACGAATATTCTAAAAATATTATGGTTATAGGGGTTTGAACCCCTAACCTCTTGTTCAAACTCCCAAACTTTACCACTAGGCCAAGTGACCCAAAGTATTCATTCCACTTAAAATATATATACATATATCCCAATGTGTAATCTTCACAACCAACCCATAATCTTAACAACCGACCTGTAACCTTAACAACCGACCCGTAACCTTAACAACCGACCCGTAACCTTAACAACCAACCTGTAACCTTAACAATTAAACTCGTAACCTTCACAACCAACTCGTAACCTTAAAACCGACCTGTAACCTTAACAACTGACCCGTAACCTTAACAACACATCCGTAAGCTTAATAACTAAACCCGTAATCTTAACAATTAAACCCGTAACCTTAACAATTAAACACGTAACCTTCACAATCAATCCGTAACCTTAACAATTAAACCCGTAACCTTAACAATCTCCCATTACAAATAAAAACAATTAGTTTCCTCATCAACAACAAAAATAATAAAAAAATAAAAATAATAAAATAACAATCCTCTTCAATCATTTTAACATCATCACAGTAACATCATGATAAAGAGAGAGAGATATATATATAAGGGATCCATAACCTTAACAATTGACCCGTAACATTAACAATTAACTCGTAACCTTAACAATTAACTCGTAATTTTAACAATCTCCCAATACAAACAGTTAGTTCCCCTCATCAACAATAAAAATAATAAAAAACAAAAATAATAAAATAATCCCCATTAATCATTTCAACTATCATCTCAGTATATCATGATAAAAAAAAGAGAGAGAATGGTATTATGGTCTTCACATATTTTAATCTCTTGGGTTTTGTGTTTTGGGGGTTCAGAGAACAAAATCTTTATTTTTAGAGCAAAACACCTGTTGATAAAGTCTTGGGGGCACGTTTTCTTGGGTTTTAGGGGCTGGAAGCATTTTTTTCCTTAAATTTATCATAATTCTATTTTAAAATATAATAGGGATATGTTTAACGAATTTAACAAGTGAATGGTATATAACTGAAATATATGGAAAACCATATGGTAATTAAAGGCTAATTAGTCACTATACAGTTAGTATATTTCTCTTGAAGTCGTGTCCCTTACGATGAGAAATGGTTTTGCTCAGTCAACCATTAATTAAAGAAATGTCTGTAACTGCAAGTATATTTTTTAGAAGTAAGAATAGGGCAATATGTCATTTCAAAAGTATATTATATATCTCAAAACATAGTGTATACAGATAATATCTAGAAGTCATTTCAATTGAGACCCTCAGAGGGTAGAGGAGCGGACCTTTGTCATTATTCTACACAACAAGGGAGAATCAAAAGAAAGCACTCAAAGATATCAGAGTGGACAATACAAAAGAAGTAAAGTATATGAACAATCGGAAGCTAACAGATTCATCAACTAGGCAAAATAAGATTTTATATCCATCCCGAAAAGACGAATAGAAAGAATTGGCTAAGGATTAGCAACGGTGCCATTGCTATCCTCACTGGAAGAAAGCAGCTCTAAGTTATCCCTCTCTCAGATGATTGCTTTCAGCTTTTGCCCCCTTTTGGTGGCTGGAGAATCTGTCCAGAAAATGAGAAAATGAGCAATCGTGGAAACCAACTTATGAGCTTGAGGTACTTCTCTTAAAAGGATCAAGTTGCTATGAGCTCTCCACATGGACAAGCAGATAGTGAGAAAGCAAAACCTCTAAAGTTGTTGAGCCTTAGAGTCAATAGAATCATCAGAGCAAATAGTAAAACATTGACTTAAGTCTTGTGGCAATGAAAAGGCTCCAACCTTATGAAGAAAAAAAAAATCCAAACTTGCTTAGCAAGAGAACAGTATAAGAAAAGGTGACCATGAGTCTCCAGTTCATGTTGACATAAGGTACAAGTAGGATCGCCAGTCCAATCTTTGATGAGGAGCCTATCCTTAGTGTTCAGTTTATGTAGGGATAAGAACCATAGGAAGAACTTGACTTTGTTAGGTAAAATATTTTTTCATATAATCGAACAAAATGGGCTACATGTGCCTCCATCAGAAGTAAATGAGTATAAAAATTTAACAGAGAAGACCCCGAAATTCTCTAACAGCCAACACACCTGATCCAACTTCGAGGAAGGCCAAAGATTCGAGAAAGACATCATATGTTTTGGAGCATCAACTTGTAAGCGATCTTGCTCTCCTATCAGTCCCCTGATAATTGGTCTCCAACACCAATTTTCACCACTATACATCCCCTGGGACACAACATTTGTATGTTTGGAAAATGCAAAATTGTAAGCCAGAGGATATAGGTTGGCAAGAGATTTCTCACCAATCCATTTGTCCTCCCAAAACCGTATCCTTTGGTCATTATCCAGACGTCATTTAACCATAGCTGAAAGAGATAGGCTAGCAGATATGACGTCCTTCCAAAATTTAGAGCAATTACCTCTATGTGGTGTGGTAGAAGGGTCGGAAGGATAAATAGATTGAAGAACTAGACCAACGTGATTATCATTAGAAAGATATTTCCATAACCACTTAGTAAGAAGAGAAGAATTAAAGTTTTCTAGGTTAATAACACCAAGACCTCCACATGTCTTGGAGAAACAGACATTGCCCCCATTTAACCAATGCTTTATCACCCATTTTTTTAGCCACAACACCCCCCCCCCCCCCCAAACCCACAAGAAGTTATGTCTAATCTTGTCCATCGCCTTAATGAGCCATTTGGAAATTTTTAATAAATCTATGTAATAAAGGGGGCGGGATGAAAGGACTGAGTTTAGAAGAACTAGATGACCACTAAAGGAAAGATGTTTGCCTTTCCATAAGGAAAGTTTCTTATGAAAAGAATCAATAAGCAGCTGCGAGTCTAGTTTAGTGAGAGATCCCTTTTTCAAAGGAAGATCTAGGTATTTGAAGGGTGGAGAGGCAAATGATCAGTTAAGAATTTTAGTAATGTATGGTCCCCGATTGACAATTCTAGCACTATAGTAGAGGTTGGATTTTGAGAAGTTGATTCCAAGTTGGAGACCTCTTCAAAGAGATAGAGAATAGACTAATGAGTGGAGATATTATTTTTATTAACTTTGCAAAAGATTAGAGTGTCATCAACAAATTGAAGTGATCTAATATCGTTCAATTTACCTTTGAGATGAAGTTTAGATAGGTCCCCATAGTTCGTACTATTGAACAACATTCTATTAAGGACATTTACGACAATAATGAAGAGCATGGGGGACAGAGGATCCCCTTGTTTAAGGCTTCTATGACATTTAAAAATATTAGTGGGTGAACCATTTAACAACAGAAGATTTAGATAGTGAAAGAACATTGTTAATCCACATGCACCAGCGAGGGCAAAACCCTCTATCTTTGAGGAGGGAGAGAAAAAACTCTCTCAGCTGACACAGTCAAAGGCTTTCATAAAGTCAATATTAATGATTCATGCTTCAATCTTCTTGGAGAAGCAAGAATGAAGCATTTCATGACCAAGAACAATCGAGTCCAGAGTTGATTTACCTGCTCGAAAGGCAGATTGGATACTGTCTACAAGCGATGACAGACACAGACCTAGTCTGTTAGCTAGAACCTTAATGAAGATTTTGATCAGGCCATTGAGCAGGCTGATAGGCCTAAAGTCCTTGACACTGCAAGGGATATTTGATTTGGGGATGAGAGTAGTGAAAGAGAAATTGATTTTGTGGAAAGGAGATGCGTCAACATAGAGATAACGCAAACATCTCTTCTTTAATGGACTCCCAAAAGGACTGGTAGAAAAGGATGGAGAAACCATCAAGACCAGAAGCTTTCTCTAGATGGAGATCAAAGACTGTTGTCTTAATCTCATCCTTTGTGAAGGGAGAGTCTAGAGATGGGAGACCTAAACATGAAGAGGGGTAAAGTTGGTCTCAATCTAGCTGAAAGGAAGAGGAAGGGTTGGCTTTAAAAAGATTGGAGAAGTAGTCAAAGAAATCTCTATATTTATCTATTTCAGAACAGTGGAGGGTATCATTGAGGGATGAAGTTTTTTCTCATGTGATGAGAGACAATTTTATGGAAAAAATAAGAGTTAGAGTTCCCTTCCCTAAGCCAAAGCACTCTGGACCTTTGCTTCCAGTAAATCTCCTCTAACTTAGCTAAATTAGAGAGATAGTCTCTAAGAAAGAGCCTAAGCTGGAGTTCAGTAACTACAAGTATATTATAAACAACCGCTTCACATTAAGCTAACGATAAAGTTTACGAATAATGAACCGGCCATAATGAAATTTGAGTATATCCCATAACTATATTGTTATAAGGAGCACTTTTCAATAATAAAAAAGGACATTCTCTCCATACTAAGTAGTACAAAAATTAAAATGATAGATAAATAAGATCATGAACCCAAGAAAAGGACAATCAATATTATTACAACCCATTCCATCCGTAAGTCTCAAATCAAGATCCATGTAACCTTCCAATCATCTAGGTCGCCCATGGTGGTGGGTTATCAAAATCTAAAAGAGAACAATTTTATAATTATAGAAAGAACTTTGCTAGAGAAAAGTATTGAACAAATACAAGGAAGACCTAGTAATTATATATAGCACAAAGCTGTCCAATCTGTACGCATTTTCATTGCTAAAGATACTAAAGGTAACCTGTAAAGCGTGGCAACAGTTTTAGAATCCTCAATAAACAAAATTTTGGGCATCTCCACAATTATTTATTGTTAAAACGGGCACCTTATGGTCTTCCTCTGATTGGCAACATATTTAGTTTCTGACCAACATCTGAGCAAAAAAAAAAAAACAACAACATCAAAACATTAATTAAGGATTTAGCATCATGGTCATAATTTATAAGCAGCATGTATAACCTATAAATTAATCATACAACAGAAAACAATTATCTCGTTTACCCAAGAAGACTAATTAAATATATATACTCTTTAATCTAATATGTTAAATTTCTTTATAATGGTATTACAAATCATATAATAAAGATTGCAAATATGATGCTGAACGTCAGATTTGTTTCTTTGATACTACTCCCTCACCTCTTGATATCGAATTGAGATTGAATATATATAAAAGAAAATAATTGTCAATCAATGTTTCGATATGCTTATCAACAATAGGAATATCAGAAAACTGATTGTTGCAGATGCTTAATTTTAGTACGGAACAAATACCTCTTCTTCTTTTCTTTTTTTTTAAAAACTAATACCGTTTTTAGTGGAACACTAGGAAGTTTGATTTCACCATGTATTTTCAGAAGGGGGAGAAAAAAATTTAGTACCATAGGAAACGCAATCACAATATTATATGGATCTTGTAATGCATATAAGTTATATAGGAAATTCGTAATAAACTTAAACAAAGAATAATAGTTTTAATATTGTATATTTGTGCATATAATTTCTGTTGCTACGCAACAGCTCCCAGCACTGTATTTTCTTTTGCCTAGCTTTTTCTAGAATGCTATGGTCTATTATTTTTCTGTTCAAGAGTTAAGTGATATTGTGGAATCATATGGTTCTTTACTGGCGGAAAAAGATGCTAGAATCCTGTAGTTTATTATTTTTCCATCATTTTGGTGGTGGTTATGGAGGGCAAGGAACAATCTAACATTCCACAATATTGGTGTATCTCCGCGCAGTTTGGCTTCTAACATTTCTCATTTCATACTATTATGGACAGATAATCTCACATCAGTTCAAGAGTTGGTGGAGAAAAGGAGGATAGCCCAACTCCTGTTGCAAGATGATTCATCCATTCCTCCCCCGACATGGCTCGGGTGGATGACAACTTCTAGGAAGTCCACCAGTTTAGACCTTTCTCTTTTGTACTCATCTTGGGATTATATACTGTTTTAACTTTATTTTTTGGTTGTGATGTAAGTGGGAGCTTTGTAATAGCTCCCAACACCATATATTCTTTTGCCTAGTTTTTTCTAGAACAGTTTGGTTTGAGTTTAAGATTGGATCAAACATCTACGACCTTAGTAATAGGCGACGGCTATGGTCCTCTTCCTATTCTTAGATATGAATTGTTTTATCCTCTCCTCCCTCAGACTATTCAATCCTAGGTTAAATTAGTGTTTTGGTGTTAATGATATATAAACAGGGTAACTCACCCTGTTTCTTACTTCAAAATAAAACTTCTGTTGCTATAACATATTATAATTCTCCCCACATATCACGTACATACTAATATGTACAACGGATTAAGAAATAAAACAATAATCTCACGGACTTGTATAACTTATATAATACATACAAGCTAAGAAAATTACAAAATTAATATGTACATAAAAGAATGCGAAGAACTATAATAGAACAATGTGAGCCTGTGAGCCCGTGCTTTGCACGGGGTAAAAAATTGTAATATGGATCTTATAATGTGTTAGTTAAAATTTTAAATGTGCAGAATTTTCAAGTAAATGTATGGTAAAACATTAAAAAGGATTGAATAATATGCTTAGGAGAATAATCTAACATAGATCAAACTAAAATTGGACTTCTATCAGATCTTTACTTATTTTTTTAGTTGTTTATTTAAACTTATATAAGAAAAGAAAACTTACATAGTCCAATAACCAGAATAATGACTCCGAGTAGATAAATTCTGATTAAGAAATCAGTCCTCTTCCTCTCAAGCCCTATTTTCATTATAAAATTATTATGGTTGAGTAACCCCAATTCATTCTCCTCAAGACGTCTTGTGGTTCTCTGCAGAATCAGAAAGTATATACTTTACATTATCATTTAAGGGTCAGCCAGGAAAAGATTAAAATAAAACCTTAGGTTAAAACATAAATTTCCTCCATATGCTATTTAGAAGAAACTAGTTTATTATATATTTAAACTTGGGTGATATGACTATAAACTAGACTTGATTGAAATGCATCAAAAACTTTATATTGGTGCCATAAAATGAATAATTTCATTATATTTTTTGATAAAATAATTCCACGTGAGTTTTCATAGTAAAAGCAATAACTTTTTCCCACAAATAACTAAAATCTTATGGAACCTAGCATTAGTATGTATGTAGATCAAAGTTTTACCTCTTCATCTGCTTCGTAAGAACTGGTGCTTTCAAAACTTTGTTTCTCATTGATGATCCCATTTATTCCATCGGAACTCCTGCTTGAAGAATTTTCTACAATATTATCCGGCTCGCAATCATAAAATATATCTTCCTTAAATTCCTCAATCCATCCATTTTGCTCATCATAAAGAAGCCTTTTGCCATAATATCTACGTTCACTAGTAGGTATATATAATGAGCCTCTTTCTCCTTCTTCATGATTATTCTCACTGCTTTCTTCATGAATTCCTTCCAACAACCTCAACTGCGATTTGAACTTTTTCATGCTAGATTTCACCAAGGCATAACGCCTACTTGCGTTCTTCAGCATCTTGTCACAAAAAAAAAGGTAAAGTTAGGATTTATGAGAGTTTTTCACGTAAATCAAATAAATTCTTAAGAAAGAAGCTGACCTTTTTCCTCTCTTGATCTCTTCCTAACGAACTTATGATTTTTTACCTCCCTCGATTTGGTAAAAAAAATTTGTGAGGTGCAGGATCCAATTTAATATATATACCAACTTATCTTATATAATGAAACCATTTAAATGAAAAACTTTTGGCCTTATCTGATGTAACTTATCCTTATCTAATAGATATCGATATCTCTAACAATTTTTCAAAATCTATCAATATCTCATACTTAAGTATCCTTTAGGAGAAAAAAATTACTCCTGTATCCAAGCTGAAACTAGTTTTACCTCTAAGGCTAAAAGGCCATTTTGGTCCTTGCATTGGGGATTCATACTCAAATTGGTCCCTCTATTTTTTACATTTTGCTGATAACCACCATAAAATAGAACAAAAAGAAAGAACATATATAAAAAAGCATTTTGAAGGACAATTTCAACAAAAAAGAAGAAGAAGAAGGAGGAGGATTCTGACCCTAATCTAATTGAGCAAGAGAAAAACGAATCAAAAAAAAACGAGAGATTTCTATTTTTCAGATTAACAACATGAAAAGGTCATAAAAGAATTTTTAATAACTTACGGGGGTATTTTGATCTTTTTAGGTCATGAGAGTTGCATGTGCCACGTCAAATGTCATGCCGTTAACTCTAGGGATTTTCTCAAAAGTTATTGGCGGTTAAGTGTTTTTTTGAAAGTTATTGTGGATTTGGTATGATTTGAAGTTTACTAGAGGTTTAGTCTGATTTTTAAAAGTTGTCGGGAAATCTAGTGTAATGTTGAAAGTTATTGGGAGTTTATTGGAAAACGCTAAAAGTTAAAATAAAGTCCGTTGAGAAAAAATAAATAGGGAGACCCATTTGAGTATAAAGTTCCGGCATGCAAACCAAGTTGAGAACAAATAAAGTACATAGACCAAATTGAATATGAAACCCCAGCACAAGACCGAATTGGCCTTCTAGCACAGGCGGTTTGATAATTAGTTTGAAACTAGTTTTATCTCAAACTTGTGCGTCCTCGTTTCCATGTACATGTATGTTTATATTTACATCTTTCCATATAATATGTAATCGAATAAATAAATCAATATTTAAGAGCTCAACGACTGGCTTCAAAATTTTGTTTCATTTCCCAGAAGGATGCTAGGATTGCGAGTCTTTGGTTCAAAACATCGCAAAGCTGACATAGTAATATATAATTGAAAACGTTCGTAGTTAACACTGCAAACTTATTTACTTGTCGGTGCATTTTCTAACACATATCCTTACAATTAACACAAAATTTGATGGTTACAACTATGTTTCAACAGAAAATTACACCAGAACAATACCGTCGAATACAAATACAACGCTTGGCGGGACAAATGCATCTCTTATCCAGATGATTCATCTAAAATTGAACTTTCAAGTTGAAGGAAAACTTCTCTCGGTCTGATGCAGGCGTGCAAAAGCATGGTCATTAAGAGCAGACCGTGCCCCTCTAAGAGTATGCCCCTAATAGTACAGTTAAATTATTCCCGCTGAATGTACCAAGCTTCAGCCCTTTGGATAAAACATAACAGTATGATACATAGATTTTGTCACAAAGGGAGGAGTTGTTTGTTAGAAATTTCAGCCAAAGACTCATCCCTGGAGTTTAATGAGAGAATACACAAGCTATGAGGGAGGAAAAAGTAGACAAAGAGGAAGTAGAGAACCCCGAGATCTGCCTCTTCACCAATTGCAGGCTGAGGAGGATCTTGCCAGTATATCTGACTCGCACACCATAAGCAATATAAACATGCTATTGAGAGTATAAGCATCAAGGATCTGTTTGATTTAGTGATTACAGATTCTCCTTGTTTCACCCTGCGAAATATAACCAGGAGAGAAGTCTGAAATTATCGCGGTGCAAGACATATAATAGAATTATTACAAAATGCGGAAAAAGGGAACGAATATCGCTTCACAATGATGATTAAGAACCTTTAAGAGACAAAGATCACGAAACATATCAAAGAAGAAACCTTTAAAGAAAATCGCTGTTATTGGCACAAGACATTTCCCCCATCAAGTTTATGGTTCGTGAGCTTCATTCTCATGTGATGGCATCTTCCTTGAAACTCGTATTTAGTATAAACTGCAGCATACTTATATGTAAATTTGACCATAGAAATTTCTATAATATGATTAAGATACCAAATTGGTACATTTAGTCAGACAAGCATTTGAAAATTATAACTTGAGCTGACCACAGTTGCACTGTATTTGATGAGTATGTTACACCGTTTTGTTCATCTGGTGAACTATTTATGTATCCAGGCAACAATCAAATTTCTTTTTAAGTGTCTGTGCCAGCCACAAATGTACATAGCTATCGGGGCCGCCCCCGAGGTTTGGGTTGCTCTAGCCCAATCCAATTTTGGTTGCCCCTTATATTAAAAATTTGGTATGAACAATAACGATAAAAATGAATACATATAATACCATTTAGCATTCTATGCTGGGCTCAAACTGATAATTTATATAACCCTACATTATAAAAAATTTGGTTGCCATGCATGTTAAATTATAACCCTACATCATATATAAAAAATTTGGTTGCCCCCTCGGCCCTGGGTTGCCTCAGCCTCGGGGCTTGGTGGGCTTACCCCAGGGCCGGGCCTGATAGCTATAATAAGGCTAAATGGCACTTAAATACGCTAATGTTTCTCTACCTTTACACTTCAATACCCTAAGTTGTAAAAAGTAGCATAAAAATACCCTAAGTTGTTAAAAAGTAGCACATTGCTACCTTCTGTTAGATAGATAACAGAAAATACCTAAGAATATTCCCATGTGCATAGTACACAATAATTTTATTATTGTATTGCCCCTATTTATTGCTTTAATTACCATTTTACCTACCCATTTAATTTATTACTAATATTTTAATGAAGGGCATTTTCGTCAAAACTAACGGTGTTAGCCTAATTCTAACTGTGTGGACAACTTGGGGCATTTTTATGCTACTTTTTACAATTTAAGGTATTTAAGTGTAAAGATAGTAAAACATTAGGGTATTTAAGTGTATAATAATCCCAATGTAAATGAAAAAATGCAGAAATAAAACAGATTGTGCAAAGGTGGGTTATTCTCCAGGTGAGACCGGTATTTATTTCTCCCATCCTCCAAAATTTCCATGTTATCCTATACACGCATATGCAAAACACAAAACTTCACGAACATCACCTGTTAATGTAAATAAATCCCCCAAGCAAAGAAGTACACAGGAGTCCAACTACGATGACAGCATCTGGGTTGATAGGAGCTCGACCATCCCACCAGCCTGTGCTCAGTATCCATGTATACATAGAAGAATGACCATTTTCCTATAAAGTAAATAGAAAGATACTCATGCACGATGAAGATAAATGACTCTACAAACAAAATAATAGTAGCAACAGCAAAAAGCAGTTAACCGAAATTTAGAATGCCTATTACGATATGAATGCTTAGTATATCATAGTATTTTGTATCATTTGGCACTCTTCCATCTCATTAAGCTTCTTATTCACACCACAAGACTATGTTTCTCGATAAAATTAGGTCATAGTTCAAACATCACAACTGAAAAATAGTCAGTTTTGAAAACATATCAGAATGTCAAAGGCGTTCTATCATTCCCTCATTATATAGGCCTCACCCAAGTTTGTTCTAACTGAAGAAGCACTAGTTTTCCCTCCACTGGGATTTCACCCTTTTTAACAAAGAAACAGGGCAGAAACTTTACAATTCCCGGGTTTTTCCATTGGAGGAGTCCAGATATAGGGAAGATGAATAGAAAAACACAGACAGAAATGGCAAGGTGTTGATGGTAGGTCAGTTTGGTAATTTCTCATATCAAATGCAAATCAAAATGGCTCGCACTGTGCACTTAATATTTCATGAAGAAGCCAATGAGATGTCTGAAGGGAGATATCCTAAATCAAAGACAAAGAAACATAAAAGATTTGCATACTATTTGTCAAAAGAAGAGATCAATTCATCATTATCTTTCTAATCTTTCACGTTATGGAAAATAAAATAATTTTAATCAAGGTCTTCAACAATCTGCCGTCAAGCTGATTTTAACTAGGAGGTAGTGTTTTAGTCAAGCAAATACAAGCTTCGCAGGACCAGCTATCCATCACAAGATGAGGCCTGCTGTAAGCCCTTGATGACCAATTGGCACTTGGTAGATATATATTCTCTGAACAAGCAATTCTACAAGCTATGAGAAAGCTATAACTTCTTCTAGAGTAGGTAAAAGAATCAAGACAGAGGTTAGATGATAAAAGAATTATGGGAGTGGCATATGTTCATCAATCAGAGGCCATGAAAATCAAGTAAATATACTTTAAGTTAGAAAATTGACTAAGCATCAAAAGGCTTGCCTAAATACATCTCGAATAAAATTCCCAACTGTGTACTCAGCTATAATTGTTTCAAAGAATGAATTATTGGACAACTGATTATCAAGTACATGTATTTAAAACTTGGGAGAGAATTTTAAATCCTCACCTCAAACAAATGATCCAGGAAAAAATGTGAAAGGGAACCTGCAGCCAGCAGCAAGAGGCATTGTCTTCTGTTTAGAGGAACCTAAGCATATCAAAACATAATCTTAAATTATGACATCCTAGGCAATCTACTAGGAACTGTTATTATAATCTGACCATGAGACGTCCTAATACATATGTGGGCTATCAAACTTTAAATAAATTAATCTTGATTAAGCATCTAACATCCATAAAACTAATACATCTTGTTAAATCCTTGAGCAAAAACTAAGATTTCACAGAAGAAATAATTTTAAAAAGCAGAAGGATCATTTGATGGAGATTTATACATCAAACAAAACCTTAATTTCTTTCTTGGTGTATAGAACACAATTACCTGTGAGGACTTATTCCATAAGGCCCGCATATTACATTATCAAACATGATATGTTAACTGTCCTACAAGAATTTTAAAGCCATCAACTTGAAAGGGCCAAAACACTCATTCGAACACATCCAAAACTTAATTCACGACAATTAATCAAACTAGTTTCTTCAGAAGCTTGAGTAAAAAAACATCAATTTCTTTTGCCCCTGTATATCAGGAATGGACAAAAAAAATCAAAGCTCAGGTTTCTCCGATTATTAAGCTACTACTAAAACTAAATGTCTACGGCAGATTCATCTCATGTCATCCTGATACCATAATTCAGAGGGAGGCCTGGCAAAATGATATAGCAAAAGACCCTGATATTTAATACCCGACTAAACGCTGAATTTTCCTTCAACACCGATAAACGTTTATTGGAAATTTCACATAGTAAAGTAAACATCTTATGAAGATTTCATATCGCAAAGAAAAATCTAAGTTTGCAAAGCAAATTATAATTTACCTTGAACATGGCTAACATCCCTACATAACCAATCCTAATGTTTACACACCCAATCCACCAAATATAAAAAACCTGAGGTTTTAATCTCCAAAACATAACTAAGTAATCATATCCACCTGCTAAACTATAATGCTTAGGGTTATTTGCACTTTAATACCCCCAAAGTTTCAACCTTTCCCCAACTCTGCTACCTTGAAGTTCTATTTTCGTAATTAAAACCCCCAAACTTTCAAATTGACGTTAAACTGGCAATTCGATACCCTAAAACCCCAATTTTGTTCCGAACTTTCTCTGTGCTCCAAAAAACTAAAACTAGCCCAGAAAATTGTTTCTCATTCACTTTCCCATGTTAATATGTCAACCTTTTTTTCGCACTTTAGAGGTATCAAATTGTCAAAATAGAACTCCAGGGAATCAAAAATACAAAAAAAATGGTGGAACTTTAGGGTATTAAAGCGCAAATAACCTTACAATTTACAACAAAATCGAACAATTCAATCCACTTAATACATGTTATCAATATTTTCCAATAAAATGACTCAAAATTCCCATAACCCATGTCCCAAAACTTAACCAAATTGCGATATTTAAGCTCACCAAAATCGAACAATTCAATCCACTTGATACATGTTGTCAATATTTTCCACTAAAATGACTCAAAATTCCCATAACCCATGTCCCAAAACTTAACCAAATTGAGATATTTAAGCTCACCCCAGAACCAGAATCAAGAAATCGCCTGCGCAGAGCCCAATTGGACAACCAAGAGCTCACCCCAGAACCAGAATCAAGAAATCGCCTGCGCAGAGCCCAATTGGACAACCAAGAGTAGGAAAACGACAGAGGGAGGCCAGAATCAAGAAATCGCCTGCGCAGAGCCCAATTGGACAACCAAGAGTAGGAAAACGACAGAGGGAGGCCAAGAACGAGGACATAGAGAAACGGGTCATGCACAATTCTCATGGCGAGATCTCCGAAACCTCCACCGAGGTTGAGGACGAACTCAGTGATCCACTGGGCGAAGGAGCCGAGGTCAGGGCCGAGGAAGGCGTTTAGGGGGTAGACTACGCAGTGGTGGGGGCTGAAGCGGCCGTGGGTTAAGCGGAGGAGGCCGATCCCTGTAGTCAGCGTGTAGATTATGTGAGGCCCTGGCCCAGGCATCTCTCTCTCCCGCTCCCTCTCGCCCTCGCTCTCTCTCTAGATTTCTTTGTCTGGAGCTCTGCAACTTTGATATACTGTACATATTTTTAACTGTGTACCCTCCAAAACCTACTTTTATCTTATGGTGTGTTTGGGAGTTTACTAAGGACTTGTTTGGATTGAGGGGAACGAGGGTGAAGGGAAGTTAGGGGAACCATTCACCTTTATTCACTTTGTTTGGGAACACTTTAGGAGGTGAAGTTAATTCACCTCCATTCACCTTGGTTCACCCCCTAATCAGAGCCGGCTCTGAAGGAGTGCAGCATGATCGATTGCACAGGGCCCCCAATCTTGGGGGGCCCCCAAATTTTTTTATTTATATTTATATATATAGGAAGAGAAAATATGGACCGTTTATTTCATAGACCCCTTAATCTCAACCGTCCGTCAAAAACCCTACTTTAAAAACAACTGACTTCTCAAAAAGATCCAGATCTGGCCGC